CTCCAAGGATGGGGACTGCACAGCCTCTGTGAACCTCTTCCACTGCTTGGCTGTCCTCACGGGAAAAAAGGGTTTCCTTATATCCAGTCTGAACCTTTAATTTCAACTTCTGCCCTTTGCCTCTCCTCCTCCCAAGATACACCTCTGCAAAGAGCCTGGCCCTGTTGTCTTCTTGATGACCTCCCCATAGGCACTGGGGGGCTGCTGTTAGGCACCCTCAAAACTCCTTCTTCTCCAGGATGAAGAAGCCCAGCTCCCTCAGCCTCTCCTCACAGAGTAAGTGCTCCGGCCCCATCATCTTGGGAGTCCACTGCTGAACTCGCTTCAGGTTACTGATGTCTTTCTTATGCTGGGCCAAAACTGGATCCAGTATCTAGATGCAGTCTAAGTAGTGCTGAGAAGGGGAAGATAACCCCTTCCCTTCAATCTGCTTGCTTTGGATGCTGTGACCTTCCTTGCCACAGGCAGGCTGCTGGCTCCTGCTGCACTCGCTGCCACCACCACCCCTGGGCCTTTTCTGCAGAGCGGCTCCTGGCCATCAGTCCCCCCTGTCCCGCTGTGGGGGCTCTTCCTGCCCAGGTGCAGGGCCTTGCTCTTGTACCTACCAAATTTCATAAGGCTCCTGCAGGATCTCTCTAGATCCCTCTGGGCAGCAGTCCCCTGCCATTTAGCAACAGCTGCAAACATTAGGAGCATCCACTTTGTCACCTCCTCCAGGTCACTGATAAAGAACATTTCTTTTTCTGCTTGCCCATTTTGTTCTGTACAGAAATATCCCTTCGAGTAAACCAACCCCAAAGCCTGGAGTAATATATTTGTGCATGGATTCTGACAAATGACATTTTGCTTCGTAATTCCAGCTGGAATGTCTCAGGTCTCACACTGGATTGATCATAAAATTTAGGAGAAAAAAAAAAATAGCAGAGTCATTCTCCTGAGGCTACAATAGGATTAAAGGAGAATTCACTCTACTGGCAACCACATCATCCCACACCCTAGAGGCTTGGCGGATGGAGCCAAAGAGCTCTGTGACAGATACAGTGTAACACATACAGCAGGCTACAGTATCATCGACTGCCACCTGTCAACTTTACTTTCGTGCCAGACTTTAGGGCTCTCCATAGCCAGGGTAATAGAACAGATACATGTCAACACTACTACTACTCCAACTCACAATCCAAAGAGTAACTTTTTTTAAAACAGAATTCATGTGAATATGAAAGTTCATCATCAAGCTGATATTTTAAAATCAAATTCACAGTAGTTCAGCCACTCCTCTTTGTCACAGGGCTTTTCTGGCAGTATATGTGGTACCATAAGTCTCACTCTGCCAACATTTCCCCTCCCCTACTGCTGGATTAACACTTTGAGAACCTGGCTGCAAGGCTGAGAGCAAATGAAAGCTCACAGTGCCAACTTGACAGAAAGCAAGCAATAAAGAGGCTTCACGATCCTATTTTCAGTTAGCATGACCACTGTAAAGCCAGAAAGACAGACATTTGCAGAAAGAAGCATTATTTTAAGAGTCCTTATAAACCTTCCAAATCAACCCAAGTGAGATGAGGACTCCTTGGCCACTTTAATTTTCCCATTATATAGTGGGGGAAGGTTCCAGGTTTTGCAGGTGGCTGAGGTGCCTACTCTAGAAACAGAAATAACAGTTTTGCGTTTGTTTTTTTTTTTTCTCCAAATGGTAATTCTTCAGTGCATCCACTGTCCAAACATCTAGTCATTCCAAAGGCTCCTCCTTTGATAAATCCTGTGATTTTAGCATTGACTACATACTTCAGAGAGGGGGGAACTCTTTTTGACACTTGCAAAGACTAATTTGACCAAATTATGAATTGAATCCATTCCTCTTTCTAGAGCATCTTCAGCTTCCACAGAGTACAAAGAAGAAGGTACAGTGACAGAGCGCTACACTAGCTGGTTGACAGACAGGAAGAAAATATTTTTAAAGTACTTCAGAAAGGCATGTCACCCTGGTCATTGTAATATCTTTTCTCTACCTCAAGTTCATGCTACATCTTCAAGAACGTTTACCTGAAAATTTACAGTATTAATCCAGTACATTTATACTTCTAGCAAAAGAATGCTTTTTGTTCACTGAAGAGTTCCAGCAGATGAACAGCTGCTTAGTAAATTCACCTTCAAAACACCTCCAGTTAGTAACTAGCTACATCAAGTGTAAGCCAGCACATAAAACTATTCTTAACTTATAAATCAGTCCATTTACCATCCTTCAAGAGTTATATTCACCTCCCTAAAAGCCTTAAAGCCCACTGTGCAAATAAAATACTGTAACTGGCTTATAAAAAAAAAACAATCTGGACATGATCACACCACTACTAGATTATCTTCATTTCATCTATATTTATTGCAAAATATTTACACATTGATTACCATGTCATGAAATGCTTTAATGGCATCTTGACAGAGAACAGGAAATGAAGAACATGACACTAAGATAGGGGCTGAGAGGTCAAACGACACCTTTCCAAAGTCATCTCTTCCCAAGCTGCCAGGAGCAAAGAGATTTTTCAGACTGAGTGTGCTGGAGTCCCACAGTGCATGCGCCACAGATCAACAGCTTTGCTGACAATGGCATCAGTGTTATCTTGAGGAATCTACAAAAGATCAGGACAAACTGTCTTGTCAGAGTACTTTATCTGGTCTGTTTTGTTTCAAATAAAAGATTTTAAAATTCCAGTTTGAGTTTTATCTCTTCATATAAAACATAAAATCTAAATCTCATCTCTGCCCTGCCATCCCACCATCACTCCATACTACTTTCAGGTTTTAGGCTGGTGTAGCACTGTCCTTTGTCCTCCACACAGAATTTTTATTTAAAAAATGAGGTAAGACAACCACCAGGCAGCTCACACTTCACATACCTAACCTGACATCTGACAGAACTCATATGGGCCATCCATGACCATAGATAAAATCTAACCTAACTCACCTAGGTTACACTAGCCTCCTAAAACCCTGCTACTATGCTCATTGTTATCCATAGAAGGAAAGTTCCAGGTCAGGTTCACAGCCCCATCCTACGTTAACACAGGGATGACGCATAGACCTGAAGATTCTTGCACAGGAAAGGAGCAAAAAAGGTGACAGAAACCAACCTTGTAAGGAGCTTTGAGAAAAAATTAATCTAGCTTCACCTGAACTTACTTTCCTAGAAAAACACTTAGTATCCCAAGGAAATACTGTCAGATCTGTAAATGTAGACATAGCAACACATTTCCCAAATCCTAAATACCTTCCAGTAGGTAAAACCTACTTTTATAAACTGTAGAAGACAATGCAAAGCACAAAAGAGTACTTACATTTTCCAAAAACTGTGTGATCTTTTCTGCAGTATTCATTGCTATTATCTTCATTTTAAAAGTCAATAATATCTCCACAGCAACAAAAACAAGAATCTTACAGGACCCACTAATAACTTTGTCCCAAACTCTAGAAAAAAATTTAAAAGAATCACTAAACATTATTGAACTGCTTATCTGCTTATTTATCTGCTAGAACAGTCTTTGCACAATCACTTTTTTCCAAATTATTTTTTCTGAACAACAGCTATGTATTGAACTATTCAGATTAGTGCAAATAAAAGACATAGTATCAACTCCTAAATCCATACAGAGTGGACTGACGGCAAGCAGAAATTTATTGATACTTGCAGAATTGGTATGTCTAACAACAAAGTCTTGTTTAGAAATGGAATGGTTTAAGAGATCAAATACATAAAGCAAATCTTGTTTTAATAGCCTGAATTGTGATAACTATTCTACATTTTATGGTAAGAGTGAGAATTTTCCTAGTGCAAGAAGTGAAACAAGGTTTATTTGCATGCCTAATAAAGACACTCTTCAAAAGGTTAAGCAGCTCAAAATTCAAATGGATGAACAACTACAACTGAACAACTACATCTGAAGAGACTAAATATTTCAGATCGTTGAGGTATGAGGCACAAATGTGATATATCAACAGGATATAATCCATGGTGCTTACATCAGACACAAGCAACAGCTATTAATCTTTGCAATCCGTTCCACTGTGCAGTCTCTCTCAGAATTACCTAAGCACTCCTAAGGACTTGCATGAAACCGTACCTGGACCTGATGGTTTTAATGAAAACTGAGGGGTAGGCCTTAGAAGCATGGGAGTAGTTTAATAACAGAACTTCTATGAATATTAAAAGGGATATACTCTACTAAAACAGCCTTCAAACAATTTGAAATCATCCTTCAGCCAGTAGCTCCATCTCAGGCCCAACTGAACAGACTTGGGCAGAAAGATTATCCAAAACCAGGGTGAAACCATCTGTCAGATGGCAGCTTTGTGATTCTGCATTATTTTTAGTTCTTGAATTTTAAGAGCTGTGTCAGAAAGACTTTGCGAGGAATATGCTCATGCTTTTTCCGGGCACCTCTTAAAAGCATTTCACCTTTCAAATAAAAACATGGGGAACAAAGACCACATGCTATCTTCCATAATCTCTGACTTCAATAATACTAACTGAAAAACTTCCACAGCCCACCTATAAACTTGGATCTATGGATGTGTTTCTTCAAAATAAATCTTAATTTTTGTAACACCCTCACTCTTAGTGGAACTTGCACTTCCACCTGGAAGTGGCAGGAGAACACAACGCAGGCATAACATGAACTTCACAGTTTAGCTGGAGTAGGTATCACACCTTTAAACAAGGCTTTTGTGTCTCCTAATGTGAACCGGTTGCTGCAGTTACACAGAGGTCATTCTTTAAACTGTGACAAAAATCTCTTCTTTGCTTTGTCAGCTTCTTAACCTTTCATTCACTTAGCTCTTTTCACAGCATTTTCATCACCTCTCTATTCATCAAAAAATTTACATCAAAATGAAATTTATAATATAGATACAAGGAAGAGGATATTTACAATCCTCAGAACTATTCTTAAAAATAAACAAACAGAAAACATAAGCACACAGGAAAAAAGAGGCACAGCTTTCCGATTTGCAATTTAATTTTTAATTCCCTGTCTCATTATGACTAAAAATGAACGAAATTCCCACAAGGGCAGAAACAATAAATAAGCCAAGAGGAAAATCTTACCTCTTGTTTTGTTATTCAAACACCTCAGCACAAGTGAGCAACATGAATGTAATACTGATGCTGAAGTCAGGTCTCGATATTTGAAGCAAGGGTATGCGAAAACTGAGATCACAGTTTCTATTCTATATCGTAGAGGTCATCTCCATCTATTTCTAACACATTTTCCTTTAGAAGCTCATCTGGTTAAAACCCCAAAATAGCTCCTCATTTCCCCCAAAATAGGACAGAACTTTTTGAAGTTCGTATTTGTTAATCTGAATACAAATTTACTTATCCTAATAAGAGGTTTCCAGTCTTCCTTCATTATTTTGCTTTCAAGTCTCCATAACTACTTTACAGTAGGTTACATTTCACACTCAGAAAACATTCTAATGTTTTCCTGTATTATTTAGTCCGACACCTGAACAAGTATTTTAATGATGGCAAATCAGATGCAGTAACATTTAAATCCCCAGTTTCTAACAAGTTTTGGAAGAGGGTGCATAGCAAAGTGGATGCTATGTTACCACTAACCACCTGTGTCTGCTGCCCTCTTTTTCTTTTCTTTTTTTTCCCTCCCTCCCTTTAACATTTCCAACTATTGTTACTGCCAAGGCAACTCCACTACTGGCAGCAACAGGGGAATGACCGTGACATTGTAATGAACAGACTGCCAGTCAGCACCTTGTCTATACCAGCAGAACTAGCAAGATATGGCAACATTAACTTCACCAGAGAAAAAGCTGACATGGAACGGAAAAAAAAAAAACTCACAGCAGTTTCAATAAAACATATATTTTGCTGATTCTAGTGTACTTTCACTTTTTAAATAATGGCAAACATTTAAGATAAAGCACAACGTCAGAGATTATAACTTTTACCAGCTTTTGATACTCTTAGGGACGGAGAAATGACACAAACGTCAACCAACTGTGCTAGCAGCCCTACTGAGGACTGCTGAAAAAGAAAACATATACTAAATTCATTATTAGCTCTTTCGTGACTATTACCCCCTGTGAAATATAGCAGTATTCAATTAGACACAGGAACACTCCGGTAGGTATTCCTTGAACAGTGAAATAGCAATAACAAAGAAAAATATAATGAAATAGGAAGCTAAGAGGTAAACAGTATGTGAAAGATCACGCAAACGACGCCGTTTACTTTTCAATGATCTTTCAGAGAATGAGCTTTCTGCAGACAAAACATGTCTTACATACCTTGTGCCTCTGTGTGTGTGTGTGTGCATGCGTGTGTAGACAAGCTATTCTCAAGGGAGCTTTTCAGGTTCCTCATCAGTGCAGTACTGTAGCAAAAAGGTTACTGTTCTCTCTTTTTCTGAAACATTATCCTGACTCTCAGAGCTTTGTCACACAAAGGCGGCACCTAGGCTGCAAGGTAAAGCACACTCTACCTTATACCCTGGTTCTGGCCTTTCAGTTATCCAGGCCTGGGATGCTTGAAGGCACTGCTTGCTCTTCTGCCGCACATCTGAGTGTCCCCCCAGTGATAACTGGGCATGGAAGGACATGATGCAACTCACACAAGTGTCATCCTGATGTGGAGTCAGGACCTTGTACCTGTCTGGTCCCCAGAGTCAGGATGCAGTTCCGTTATTTAGACATAGGCAAACAACTGACTAAAGGGTAAGAATCACGTGTGTAAGATTCTTTGTAGTAGCAGCCCTCAGGCACGCTCCCATGCCCTCACGCTCCACAGTAAATTGGAAGTATCTTCCACATTTCTGTTCATTCTACTAGCAATTGACCCATTTTTACAACTAGATGCAATTCATGCAGGACATGGAGGTCACAGCTGTAAAACTGCACAAGCCATACATTAATACATGAGGTAGTGTACCAGCTTTGAAATGCAGTCACAAGATTTTAGGAGAACTACTGAGTACTTTGTCACAAACAAGTTACTAGAGGCTAAAAACCCAGCTCCACCCTACCAGCTACTGCAGTCCTGCTACTGCCAAGTCTTCACTGCAAACTACAAATAATGTTAGTCGGGGACATGATACATGATACATGTACATCATGATACATGACTGGCAACATTGGGCCTTAAAAAAAAAATCCGTAGCTTATACCCACTTATATCTGCAAAGCTGCACTAATTCTGTTATAGCTGGATCATCTGGGGTAACAGGGCTGGAATAAATCAGCAGCAAAAGTGCAATTTTGACTGTACAGCTGGAAACACAAACAGGACACCATGCTTGAACAGCAGGGCTCTCCAGCAGAGGGCCCGTATAGTGCCGTTGGAAAGCTCTCCACGCACGGGGCTTACTGAACAGATGCCGTGGCAGAATTCGAGCAGAGCGCGCACTGGTGAGTACAAACAAGAGGTGCGATCCAGTTCTCTCCCTTTTTCAGAGATGAGCAAGCCTTTCTGTCTCTCGCAAGACTGTGCTACACGCAGGTCCATGTTCCAGGAAGCACTGTGTCTATATTCCAGGTTGGATAGAGAGTCTTGAGGAATTTTTCTCCTAAGCCAATGGAAATGCTTGGTGTGCTCCTCACTTTACCAGTGTGGCAGCTTTAAGAAGTGTGCTGAAGAACCTTGTTGCACAATACACCAAGTGTATTAAAGTCAGCAAACAGAGACATTGCATAAGAAATGTTCAAAAGAACATTCACTGAAATGCATTCAAAAGAGATGTTTCTACATGAAACTGGTCTATCAAAGTTTTCCAAACCAATTTAAATCAAACTGATGCACAAATTTTACCTATGTTACAACTAGGTGAAGTGCGATATAAAACAGTGTTATGTACTGAATGATGATGCATATCAGGAATAAATATATATAAACTTCATCTCACCATTATTGGATAAAACATCTGCACAGACTGCACAAATCTTGCAAACGTTAGAGAAAAAGAAAAAAGAAAAAGAAAAAAAAGAGGAAAGAAAAAAAGATGCGATTTAAATTTAGCTGCCTGGCAGAGAAAACTACAATTTAGCCACGGCAACAACCTGTCTAAGAAAGGCAGTATTAAATCATAAGCTAAATTAAATTGTAAGGGACTGAGCTCAAATCACCTCTAACTTGACCAACAAAAAGTAAAACTCACAGGAGAACTGCAGACCCGCTTTTAATTCGCAGCAGTTCCAACACTGCCATTTGGCTACATTTCACATAAGCATTAGGGCTTCTAGATTCTAACCCAAGCAATCTCCAAGCATTAATTAAGTTCATCTGTCACACGCTGCCCATAAAGTATGTTATTTCCTTAGCAAATGAGCCATTACGATTACAATTGAATAATTCAGAAACTTAAACAGTCAAGAAAAGAGTGCACTTTTATCATATTCCCATAAAAACTGTTAGGACGTGGGATTACTGTGCCATCTGAAGTGCCACAACATTGAAATTTGGTTTTTTTATAGTGACACAAAAAGTGCTTTGACATTTTCTGTGGAAAAAAAAATATTCGAAATATATCAAAGTATTCAATTTCAATATGGTAAAACAGTATAGAAGAATGCTACAGTAACCAGATAAAATATTTTATATAAATGAACTAATCCAAAGTGACAGAAGTAGAAACTAAAGATTCTGACAAGATAAAATATGAAAAATCAGAATTCTCCATCTAGATTTTTTTCCTTTTACATTATCAAAATGACACAGCCCCGAAAAATGTTGACTTTTCAACAGAAATTTCAACAAAACTGAATCTTCCAATAGAAAAACTGCTCTATTGGAATTTTCTCATTCAGCTGTAGTTCTCAGTTTTAAGCCCTACTATCAAAATTAAGTCACATAAGCTCTAAATAATAGCATCTCCTAGAAGGCATGCAAAGAGGTTCACCACGCAGCAATTTGCAAAGGGTATTTCAGACCACAGAAGCCTACAGAAAAGAAGGCTTGAAGAAACTGGTAAGTCCTGCAGTCACTTCTGTTGACAAACTGCATTAATTTTCATACAGAGAAAGCACAGTGAAGCAAGATCAATCATTATGAACTAAAATTGACCTTTAAATATAAATATGAAACAGAGGTGCACGCAAACCGTAAAGTCATTCAATTGCTTTTAAGGATGTAATAAACATATTTTACACACGGTTCCTGTACCCACAAAAGTAAGGTTAAAAACGGCCATACGCAATCACTACACACTGACACCTGATTATTTTGTAGCCTTACAGGTGCTTGACAAGAATGACTTGCTATATAACAATTAAGTGCCACAGGGTAACACCAAAAGCTCTACTATCAACTCCTTCAGTTTTGGTTCAAAAAATTTATTGTTTCTACTCCTTGCTAGCATTAGAACATATAAAACCGGAAAGACCACTGTCCTGCACGACAGGACTGCAGAGCACGACTGCTAATCTTTAGCTCGTTCTCTAAAAAACCCATATTGTCATAAGGGCAAACAAAACATTTTAAAAAACAGCTGTGCATCATTTCCCTTCATGAAATGTGAAGTCCCAGAAAACCAATATTGCACTCACTATTCAGGTGACAACCAATTACCACTGTAAACCAAAGTTTTTTTTCTATAGAGCATTTACAAAGCGCTCTCACTTTCCACTTAAAGTTCCTCTAGAAGCCATTAAAGTCCTGAAGGTGCTGGCGTGAAACTTCCCCTGAATCTTCACGTTCCTTCTCAAATTTTTAATGGGTGGCTGACAACAAAACCATCCTTTCCTACACACCAACTCCTGCTCTGCTACTAGCAACGCCCTTGTCAATGCAGAAAGGATAGTCTTCATCTAGTTTGAATTTTGCATTATCCAGGAGTTCTCAGATGGCAGTATTAGAGAAATCATACAAGCATCATTTCAAAGTCCCTGCAGTGAAGGGCCATGCATGAGAACTTTCTTTTTTCAAAAGCCAGACAGCGTATTTTCGACTGTAAAATCCTGCTATAACCCACTGTCATTTCATGAACTTTTCAATACTGAAACTGCCTTAATACTTTTTAAAATAAACATTTCCAAAATCTTTTTAAATCCGATAATAAAGTATAATGACTCCCTAAGCAAGGATTTCAGTTAAAAAGCCTGAAAACCGACTACACTCAGCTCTCTATCCCTAAATGGGAATTTGCAGTTTTAAATCCTAGGAGGACAGAATGTTTAACAGAATCATCTGCTATATTGAACTCCATTCTTTTTAATTTCAGTACCAAAAATAATGACATATAGATTATCTTACATCAGTAAGAAGTGGAATTGAATCAAATTTTATCATTTCCAAGTCAGCACCACTTTTGAGTCAATTCCATAATCTTACAGATGAAGTAAGGGAAGCTCATCTGCTAGTGGCAATAAGAAGCTGGTACTACTAAGGTGCTACTATTTGCTACTAAACAAATACAAATCAAAAGAAAAAAGAAAACAAGAACTTGCCTCTGTAAACTGGACTCAGGTAAACAGCCTGCAAAACACTTTTTAAACCAAAGATTGTAAGGAAGTTTGCTCATTGCAGAACACGCTTTCAGATGCATCAGGAGTCTGTTATCTTCAACGTTCAAATACTGCTCCAGAATTTTTGGCTGAGAAAGGAAATGGAAAACTTTAGATGAATCACATCAGAGTACACTCGGTAGTTAACACACTGTAAAACAGTGCTATTTAAAAAATTAAAAGTATATACTAACATATGCTCAAATACTGAACTTGCATTATTTTAACGAAAAATACGACCCAAGATACAAGTGTTGCCGATTTTTGCAACTAGTTAATTAGATACTTTGTTAAACAAGCACTCCCTATGTTCCCTGAATTGCTGACCACTAGCAGGACTTCTAATATATGCAGAATTCCCAAGGCAACAAGGTGTTTGAGAGCTTAAGGCAATACAGAGATTAAACCTGCACTAATTACCGCTACCATCACAAGTAAAATTGAGTTTCATTCACCACAAACCTAATCCCCTTAGCACTCATCAAAAAAACCTACACACAATGCAGCAAAACCAAGAAGATCAATTCTCGGAGTAAATCCCTGTGCAATACATTAAAAGCTGGACATTGATTTCTTCTTTAAAAATCCAGAGTATTTAGAAAGGCCAACAGAACAGCATACAATAAGGTTTTGAAACAAAAGTGAACAATGCTTATTGCTGCGCTTAAAGTCTAATGTAACACAACACACACTTTCATAAATTCATGAATTTATCCTTTTTGTCGTGATTAGAGAAACAGCTAATTACTTCAGCTGTCATACGACAAAATTTTCGTTGTCCATATTCTAACATCGAGTCTTTGTACAAGGTACGTATTATAACATAAAACTGAAGAGGGAGACACTTGGCACTCCCTTTGTACTGATAGTACATCCTTTCTTTAAAAATATTCCTCTCTCTGTCCTTTAAAAGGAATTACAAAAATTGGTTTAGTTGAATGTAACTGCTTCAGCAATAGGAGGCAGATTTAAAAAGTATTTCTTAGTTCCAAAAGAATAACAAACAAAGGGCATATCCTTAATATTCTGAAAAGAATTTTCATCCAATGACTGCTAGTGCACAGATCCTCAGGTATGTTCATCTCAGTGCATGTTGCTAACTAAAAGATTTCTTGCCTTTAAGAGTATTTGAAGAATTACAAATGCTTTTATTTAAAATGAAGCAGATTTTATAAGTATGCATTCTCTAAAAAAATAAAATAAAAAACAGTAAAACAAATTCAAAATTAACACTCTATAAGAACATTTAAATGATCAGTGCCAAAAGAACTCTATAACTTGATTTGCAAAATACTATTTTTCTGGAGATGCAAAGTGCCCTACTCCATTTTTAAGGTGACACAATAGTGCTTTGTCTCATTATAATCCAATGAGCACATGGAAGCCAGAGATGCATCCTAAAAAGTAGCATAAATACATCAAAATGTTCTTAACCTTCTGACATGTTCATTCAATTAAACAAAACAGTTAAATCGGGAAAAAAAAAAAGATGTAATTGAAACCTACAGTGTAGCAAACAAAAATAATTTCTAATGTTATGCTAGACAAAGTATCCTACGGGACAGTACAAATTACAATGCAAAAGCACTAGTCCCATTTTCTCAGAACTGTTGGCAAAGCAGAATCCAGGGGATGCCACCTCTGACATTCTACTAGCCCCTGTACACTGTAACTTTCCAAAATGCTCAATAAACATGGTTTCCATGACTTCTTCCTCCCTACCTTTATCTCCTTTCTCAAAAAAAAAAAAAACTTACCAGTTGTTGTAATGAGTCTTTGTGCTTGCTGTTCAGCTGATTCACAAAGCAACTGACAAGCCAGTAGCATTCTATAGGATCCTCCACCATTTCCTCCATTGCTTTAGCAATAGCAAGAAAGACTTCATCTTCAGGTTCCTGGAAAAGCAAAAAAGTGAATACGGAAGTATTGGACTCTTTGATTTAAATTACTGTTATATTTCCTTTCCATTCTGTTTGGGAAAATGAGATGGAATCAATGTATACAAAGAGAGACAGTAGCTGTTCTAACATGCATAAATAAAGCACTGGGCAACAGATACCTGTTACAGCAGAATAAGACATGTCTTGCTTTTCAAATCAAAACAACCAACTGGAGTTTGAAGCAGCTCTGATTCAAAGTTCTCAAGTATTCTCACAAGAGATAACATTACCTCCTAACAAGATACCAATACTCCTACTTCTGTACACCACACTACTTATTACCCTACATAGCAAAAAAAAAAAAAAAAAAAAAAAGATGAAAATATCCGCTGCTGAGGGCCAACTAGACTCCTCAAAAACCTCTGTAATGGACTCAGCTACTGGGGAAAAGAAAAGAAAAAAAAAAAAGCAGCTGTGAGCTGTATCCTCATCTTTAACATATAGGGAATGATTTGGTTTGAGACAAACATCTTCCTGGAGACAAATGAATACTGATCCCAGGTGATGACTGTCTTATTCTCACAACACAATACTACAGGTTTGTGACAGTCACACTATCTTCTCTTCATTACTTCATTAGGTGGTACACTTCCTACCACAAGTGTCAGCATGCCTAAACAACAGTTACTGGTATGACTGCGCACAGGGTAGACACATGCACGCTAACTCTAAACCAGCTAGGTCTTACGGTAACTGCTAGCTCAGGAAGTTTTTAAACTGGGAAGATGCATAAGGACAAGGCTGTGTAGTCGCCCCGTTTATTACGGTCTTCCTTAAGTGGGCAATACTGACTATATTAGGAGGCAAGATAACAAGCTAGATGTGTACTTACAGTTTGATCTAATGTAACCATCAGTAGGCGTTAGCTACAGCATCACAGGCTTTTGCACAGATTACAATTCATGCAAAACATCTGGATAGCCTAATTACTACTGGGATATTCCTCTGTTACATAGACTGCTGCAATGCACACATACCCCTAATTAAGCTCTCTATTCCATATACGGAAAACGTGCAAGTCATGGAAGACTGCTAAAATGACCAAATTTTATTTTATTTAAAAACATTTAGATCAATCCAGCATCATTTTTATCCTCTCTCTGCCTCCAGAGGAGCGCATCTATGTAACTAGCAAGCAGTCCCATTTATTATAAGTTTAAGGGAACAGCGACTGCATTGAATACAGGCGGACGTACCAGGAGAACAAGCACTTTCTATAGCCAAACAAGCATAACTCAGTGACAATGAGGATGTATGAAGTCTTCCAGTCAAAAATATGCCTGGATTTTCCATGATAACTTTTTCTATCCAGGATACCCTCTTTCCAACAGTGAAACAGCCCATCAGAAAAGCAAGCAAGCCTGTGAGCTAGTATAGCCAATTGCACAAAAAAGGATCTAACTCCATAACTAGTCAAAATAAAGGTCCATAACTAGTCCAAGGTCCATAACTAGTCAAAATAAAAACATTATGCAAGTCCTTATATCAAATTTAGTTATTACAGATGAAAAATAAAGTAAGCAGGGTTAGAGTCAGATGAATTAACATTAAATAAGGGGTAAGTAAAATCCACATCAGGAAGTCCCATGGCTCCTTTCATCACCTCTTCTTTCATAGATGCTTATACATGAGGTCCACACACTGTTCTTTTCATCACACTATAGACTTGTTTATCTATATGTGAGTGTACTGTAAACTACAAAGTATATGCGGCACCTGACAGAAGCCTAGATCAGCCAGATTAACGGAAAAAGGTCAGTACATTAAAGTCTAGGTTTCAAAACAAATAATTCAAAAATATGCTGTAATTTGCATTAAATTGCTGCTTCTGATAGCTCTGAATCATCCTTGCTCCAGAATATTTAAGAATCTATAAGCTTCAGTAAGATTATATCATTTTCATTTCAGTGCCATAAAGAAATTAAGGTAAAAGCCAGAGTACAAAAGGCTTGAAGCCTAGCAGAAAAAAATACACAAAACATACTTTAAGGCATAAAATCTTATCAAAGTATCGGGGGAACAAAAAGACAAAAACACTTTTGACCAAAATTCCATATTTCATATTAGCACGTCTCTGTTTTCCATTCACCTTACTTTATCTATGAATGTATATCTATCTACGTACATCTGCTGGGCTACTTACAGTTCAGTTTCTAAAAGGTTTTAGTATGAAGCGACCGAGAATTACGTTTAAGTTATTTAAAAGACAAATAAAATGACAACTGACCAAAGAAAAAGCCGAGTTTCGAGGCAATTTTCCTGATTCCAATTGATGTATCCGCAGGAAAACATCTACCTGTGGGGTAGAATCATTGATAAAACGAATTATATGGAGAGCATGGTGTATATCCCAGTATTGCTCCCTCCGGTAATTCATCACCAAAGCATGAGATTCATGGTGAGGAGGAATAATCCCTAAAAAACAAGAAAAAAAGAAAAAATAGTAAAGAGAAAAAATAGAGCAATCAAACTCTCTTTCTGAGAAACTTGCCTAAACTCCATTCCTAGCACAATTCCAGCCTACAAAAATGCAGGTCCTGGCACTGCATTTCTTGTATAAGCTTCGTCAAAGAATACAGAGGAAAAAATCCTACAATATTAGAACTCACTGGACCAAGAAAGCACTTTAGTTAGATTCAGAAAAACAAATAGAACATGTTAACTGAGCACAGGCAAAATCTACCCTTGGACTTTTGTTTTGCCAACTCTTCTATGAGTTTTCAGCAACTGAACACTAATTCTTCCATCTATTACGTTAGTGCACTGGTAAGAAATGTCATTGTTGGGATAGAAGGAAAATAATTTCATAGTTTATTTTCCCTCTTCAACAAATCTACCTTATTCTTAAACTGTGACTCTTACCTGCCACTTGTTTATATTTACCTGCAGTTTTTAAACACAGTACTACTTATGTATTTATGCCTAGCTTCCTTTTATTAAGATAATACAGTTCTCATGTACATTAGCTGTATCTGTTCTCAGATTCTACATTTCCTCCGGGATGTCCAGGGAACATATGCATGCAATTGCCTAATGCAGAAGTA